GGCGCCATCTTGGTCTCCGCGGTACCATTAACCTAGTCTAGATGTGGGAAAATCACCAAGGGGTGATACTCAAAAACACAATCCATTTCCTTTCTCCTTTTAAGGGTGATGGAAATCAAATACTTCAAAATAAACTAGAGGGGAGAAAACGGCATGGCACCAAAGATGTCTAGCATTATCTATTTTCTTCTTTGACTTCAAAGACAGGATATGAAGAATTCACAGCAGCAAAACTTTAAGGCACTTATAGCATGTAATCAAATCGATGCTGCAGGCAAGACAAAACCTAGCTGGTAAGCAGGAGCCCAGCTATAATCATGATGCCAGTGTTTTTAGTCATTGTGCTGTCCAATCTCTAAATAGAATTGAATGAAAACAACTCATTACACTCTTATGACAGATGTGTTAAAAATTAACACAAAAAATGTGTTATGAAACAGAAAACACGTGTTGTGTTCATTTTAACATAACGCGTGTTAGAATTGCAACAAAAGTAGAACACACTGTGTGTGTTGAATATTTCAATACATTTTTGTGTTAGTTTGTGTTTGTCAGATGGAATTTCCTCTCTGCTGCCATCAGGTAGAATTCCTGTTACTGACGACAAGATATTTTTTTCAACTAATGTTTTCTGATATTTTTAAATAACATTTTGCAATAAACTATTACCTATATTGACAGTTATTATCATTTTTACTGTATTTTGCCAGGTGTGTATTTCATTATTTATATAAATTGCAGCAAAGACAATAATTTCATTTGAAGAACATTACCACAAATTCATAGAGATATTTTGTATATTTTTCTAAAAACTTATGTTTTCCTATCTATATCTTTACACACACACACACACACACACACACACACGTGTGTGTGTGTGTGTTCAGAGGGCTGTGAAGTATTTTAAATAAATAAAATGATAAATTCTGAGTACGGGTTTGAGCCACCTATGGTTAGCTGAGAAAACCAGACTGCTCAGCAAGTCAGTAGCACAAGTGAGAGGGAGGAGCCAGCAGAGGAAGGAGGGATTGGGTTCTGATTGGAGGAAGCTTTTTCCCGCCTTGAGGACGCTGGCTGACAAAGGAAGCAAAGATGGAGGCCACGTCGCCTGGAAAAAGTTCAGCCAACTCGGTAAGGAGGTTTTTATTTGATTTGATTTAATGTTAAGTCTTTTTGTGATTCGTAAAATCTTGAGTTTTATGATGTATTAATATTTTGGGGTGCTCAGAGAGAGTAGGGCTCTGATAAGTATGAGTTTCACGTCAGAGTTTAGCTAGCTAACTTTCATTATGGATTTATTGGGATGTTGGTGGGTTACAAAATACCATTTTAACTCTTTATGGTTTTCTGTAGTTGGTGTTTTGGTCTAAATTTATTTGTAGAGGATAAAACTTTGAAAATACTTAGATGTTGCACTGGAGCACTATGGTTAACCTAGACACCATCTTTTCTGAAAAATTGGACAGTTCAGACTTTTTCAAAATGGAGGAACCACACCTAAAATTTCACAGCGGCTTCTATTTTCTGTTGTTCTAAATCAGCTTTTATTATGACAAATTCAGCGTTGCCAACTTTGCGGCCTTGGCGTTATTTTAAACGAGCTTTCAGACCCCCTTAACAACCTTTTTGGCCCAAAAAACGTACAACGTCTAACATAACATTTCTGACGACCCTTAGGTATTTCCTGTGAAAATATCGTGGATATTCCCTGCTTGTTAGCAAGAACTCAGGCTGCTCTCCGGACCATCTTCACTGACGTGAGGAAAGGGAATTATCTGCGCATATGCGTGATCACCTGCATGAACTAATAAATCAATAAACTTTCTAGGTCAAGCCGATTCACATGTCGACAGCCGCTTTGGTCCTGCCTGCATTTAGCTTAAAACAAATGGTAAATGGCCTGTATTTGATATAGCGCCTTTTAGAGTCATGGAACCCCTCAAGGCGCTTTACAACACAATCACACACACATTCACACGCTGATGGTGATGAGCTACGATGTAGCCACAGCTGCCCTGGGGCACACTGACAGAGGCGAGGCTGCCGAGCACTGGCGCCACCAGTCGCTCCGACCACCACCAGCAGGCAACGTGGGTTAAGTGTCTTGCCCAAAGACACAACGACAGCGACAGACTGAGCGGGGCTCGAACCTGCAACCTTCCGATTACGGGGCGAGCACTGAACTCCTGTGCCACCGTCGCCCCAACGTCAGCGGGAGTTTGTTCCGGAAACACCGGAACGCTAACACACACAGGTCTGTTACTCATCGGTTATTTATTTCACGGACGACGGACTGGTATAGTAATATCATTTGACACTTGCGTCTGGTGGTTCTGTGCACCAGTGTGCAGATACGTGACGTTATGTATTAGCTTCTTCTGAGATGGAGTAAAACCGCATTGGAAAAGCAGAGAAACAATGAGGAAAAATCCACTGTTAAATGCTCAAAAATGACGGTATTTGTTTGACTAAGGCGAGCAGTTATGAATAAAGTCCTATTATGTGGAGCATTTATATATCACCGCACCTAATCCCCATTAATATCACATTATTTATCTTTTTGAATAATCTCAATTAACCCGAAAATGGCCAAACCTGGAGTTTCTCTGCCAGATAATGTCGTTTTTCTTCTAGTCTCTTTTCAGAGTGCCCCATTCAGCTCGCACACACACACACACACACACACACACACATGTATGTCTGCAGCAGGCTAGAGGGTTGAATACTTTTCTGTCAGCCTAACTAGACATGCAATATAAGCAAAAAGCTTCACTGTACAGGAGGAATCTTGAATATGGGGTACATTATCAGGTTTTAAAAGAATACTTAATTACTGAAGTTTAAATAATATTTATTTATTTATTTATTTTTAATCCTCTTCCTTGAACCGTCACCTTATCGTGGTGGAGGAGTTTGAGTGCCCTAATGATCCTAGGAGCTATGTTGTCTGGGGCACTTTGTGCCCCTGGTAGGGTCTCCCATGACAAATTGGTCTTAGGTGAAGGGTGAGACAAAGAACTGTTCAGAGGATCTTTCATGGATGTAAATTCAAAGAGTGGGAGTACCCGGCCCGGAGGGTTACCGGGATCCCACCCTGGAGCCAGGCCTGGGGTTGGGGCCCGTGAGCGAGCGCCTGGTGGCCGGGCTTTCACCCATGGGGCCCGACCGGGCCCAGCCCGAACCGGATACATGGGCTCATCCAACTGTGGACCCACCACCCGCAGGAGTAACATGAAGGGCCCGGTGCAATGTAGATTGGGTGGCAGACCGAGGCGGGAGCCTTGGCAGTCCGATCCCCGGACAAGAAAACTGGTTTTTGGGACATGGAACGTCACCTCGCTGGCGGGGAAGGAGCTGGAGATTGTGGCAGAGGTTGAGCGGTACCGGCTAGACATAGTCGGACTCACCTCGACACATAGCATTGGCTCTGGAACCCAAGTACTTGAGAGGGGGTGGACACTCTCCTTTGCTGGAATTGCTCCGGGTGAGAGGCAGAGGGCGGGGTTGGCTTTGTGTTAGCCCCAAGACTCTCTGCCTGTGTGTTGGGGTTTACCCCGGGGGATGAGAGGGTAGCTTCCCTGCGCTTTCAGGTCGGGGAACGGGTCCTGACTGTTGTTTGTGCTTATGGGCCAAATATCAGTTCAGAGTACCCACCCTTTCTGGAGTCCCTGGGACGAGTGCTAGATAGTGCTCCATCAGGGGACTCCATTGTCCTGCTGGGGGACTTCAGTGATCACGTGGGCAATGACAACTTGACCTGGAGGGGTGTGATTGGAACGGCCCGCCTGATCTGAACTCGATTGGTGTTTCGTTATTGGACTTCTGTGCAAGCAGCAGTTTGGCCATAACGAACACCATGATTGAACATAAGGATGCCCATCGGTACACTTGGTACCAGGGCAGCCTATGTTGCAGGTCGATGATAGACTTTGTAGTTGTATCATCTGACCTGCGGCCGAATGTTTTGGACACCCGAGTGAAGAGAGGAGCGGAGCTGTCAACTGATCACCACCTGGTGGTGAGTTGGATCAGATGGCAGGGGAAGATGCCACATACACCTGGCAGACCCAAACGCAAAGCGACTTACAAGTTATAATCGGCTTGTTACCTTTGAGGCTAACAACAACAATAACAACAACAACAACAACAAACAATTTCCAGTCAGTCGTAGGTGGATGAATCATGGAGAGGAGGGAACAAGGAGTGGACAGTAAAGAGGGGGGACGGGTGCAGGGAGGGTGCTAGTTTAGAAGATGCTCTCTGAAGAGCAGGGTCTTCAGGAGTTTCTTGAAAATCGAAAAGGAAGCCCCTGTTCTGGTAGTGCTTGGAAGGTCATTCCGCATTTGTGGAACGATGCATGAGATTGGATTGGATGGATTGTCCTGAGCGTGGTGTAGGCACTGCTAGCCGACGATCCTGTGATGACTGGAGCGGCCGGGCCGAGACGTAAGCCTTTGCAAGAGGATCCAGGTAGATGGGAGCCATACCATATCGGACTTTGTATGCTAGTGTTAGCAATTTGATATTTGTGTTGACTTGAGTGACACAATAGTTGTGTTACATGGGCAAACACATTAGTTGTGCCATTAATGACATAACATGTGTTGTCCCTGAGGTGATTTGGCACGTGTTAAAATTTAACTCATCATGTGTTGTTTTTGACACATCTGTTTTAAGAGTGTAGGTTTTATTTTTCTTTGCTAATTCACCTTTTTATTTAAGTGTTTTTTCATTTTTTTAGAAATGGACATTTTCCTTGGTTTTTGTTCCTTTCCACATCCCCACAGACATCACTCTCAGGAAGAAAGCTGAAACTTAGAAGAGATGTTCCACAAAGCAAAATGCCAATCTCTGACATGACAGCATGAGTCAAAACAGTCCATTTTGATTCCGCATGGCGAGCAAAAGGTTTCCAAGCAGGTAAAACAGATCTTTCATTGTGTGTGTGCATGAAGGTCAACAAAATAAGCAGCAAGCGTGCACACTGGTCACTCACTCACCAGAACAGTGACGACTCGTAAAACAACTCCCCTCATGTTATTTTCCAATTTCCTGTCTGTCAAAGTGCCATTCAATCCGTGAACTGGGTCCCATGTGGCCAGCTGTAACGGACACACACAAAGAGAGACATCCGTTAGATATAGGGAAATCTTTATACGCCAGGTTGGATTTACAGTGCAATAAATAAAAGGTCATGATGACAAAAACATTTTCTAAATATGCAAAAGATTATAACTCAGAACGTCATGGTGACGGGAATCATTGATCTGTGCAAAACAAATAAACTAACGGTGTAGACATGAGTCGCATCAGAATCATCAGTAAATTCCTGAAAATGAGACGGCGTGCCAGTCCCGTGCTCTATGGGTGATGTGGGAAGAAGCCAGAAGTTTGCAATGAAGCAACAAAAACAGGTACAATAGTTACTGATTCCTCGACTGACTTCTACTCCTCAAAGTAAGTTTTAACAGTTTGAAGATCCTTCTGTAAAACTCGCAGTGAGACGTTGACGACAGTTGAGTAGAATTTATGTCGGAGGTGCTTTTGAGAGATGGAGGTAGCTTCATGATCAACAATAGTTCTAAACTAATCAAGAGTTGAGGTAAATACTAAGTAATTTATTGTATTTTACACATTGTAACCAAAATTAATTAAACTTAAATGAAGACGATTTGTTTAAAAACAAAATGTTAAAATGTGCTCAAAAGTTGGAGGCAGACTTCCACGTCAAACTGCATCATACACATCCAGTCTTTCCCAGTGGAAGTCATTATATAATCCCTGAACTGTCTTACATTCTCAATAAAAATATAATTTTCAGCATTAAAGTTCAAAGTAGACTGACTTCCCTAGACAGAGTGCCAGTCGAAGTGATTTAGCGGTCCGTCTTTCCAAAAAACAAAAAAACAGAACACATTGTTTAGTACAAAACACTGCACCTCATACATATCTGCTTAAATCTCACACACACACACACACACACACACACACACACACACACACACACACACACACACACACACACACACACACTTGTATTTATATGTTTGTTTAGACCTCTATTGACTTTGTCATCATTGACTTCATTCGTTTTAGTGACTCCACTATGCCGAACACATACCCTAACCATAACCAATGGGGTTCCATTCCTAGTTTCAGGAATTTCAAAATAAAATTAAAATGTTGTAGTTGAAACAGGAAAATGCATGAATGCAGCCAAAAACAAGTTTGGGGAAACAATAATATTACCATAAACAGCTCCAAAAAGGGGATTTTCTATGACATGACCCCTTTAAAGCTGATTATATAAAACACTAATATATGTATATATATATATATATATATATATATATATATATATATATATATATATATATATATATATATATATATATATATATATATATATATATATATGTGTGTGTGTGTGTGTGTGTGTGTGTGTGTGTGTGTGTGTGTGTGTGTGTGTGTGTGCAGAGAAGGCTTTTAAACCCACACAGTTTACAGACAAACCTTACCTGCATAAGTGTGCATGTGTGAACAGAATTAGTTGAAACCACCTGTGAGGGTCTGCACTACTATTGTGAAATACAGCATCAATTTAAATCAACTTTAAAATCTTACTGTAATTTCAAACATTATAATTTAATCACACTCTGATTTGCCATCTGCATATGTCTGAATCATTCACATGAAGAAGGATCATTCCTGCTGTCTGCTATTCTGGTTTCTGCCTGAAGGGGGAGATGTGGAGCTTGCCTGTCAGCTTAGGTTGTTAGTTCTATCTCATGACTCAATTTAAGATTATTTTTTCTCTCTGAAGGTGAATCGACTTGAAATTATAACAAAAAACAGAGTGTATCATTCTTGCTACAATCACACAGTCATTACAGCATGTGAATATATTGTGTCAAAGAAGGTGTGTGCATGTCTTATTCTTCTTTACAAACATGCTGCTTGTGTGAACGTCCAATTATTACTACATGTCTCACTCTGGTGTGTGTAAATCCACCAAACAGCATCTATTCTCCAGAGGGAGAAAGTGTGTGAAGTGTAATAATAAAAAAAATAAATAAATAACAATAAAAAAACACACCAGATACATGAAAAGACAAAAACCTGGACACACAAAAGGGGAGGGGCCCATGAGAAAGAGGAGGCTCTCAACAAACAAATAAGGTGCTGATATGTGGTGAGCGGAGATGAGTACAAGTATTGTAAAAAGTGGATTTACAACACGGCAGCAGCTGTACGTGTTCATAGAAATGTGACTGTGTAATCAATAAAACATGTGCAGTGTAGGGCCTGCACGACTTTATTTTTTTTTAAAGTCGACAGTCAAGTAATGAAAGTCGAGTCGACTTCGACTAGTCGTTGATGACGTCATACGGGGGGTCGGTCGGTAGGTTCGCTGGAGTTTTTGACAATTAAAATTGCGCCCACATTTTCTAAGTTAACACATCTCTTTTAACAACGGTAGTTTCTACTTCAGCCCTCTCCCCCCTCCCCCTGCGCAGCAGCCGCAAACTCACTGATGCGCCTGCAGCCTCTCGGAGTTCCTGCTGCTCTAAACATTAAAATAATTATTTCATTTTCTGTTCCTCACTTCTGATTACCTTCAGTGGTGTCTGTTTGTTGCAACCAGCAGGTACAAAAACTAACTTGTTTTTATTTGACTATTTTTCTGTCCTGCCTGTTTATTATCTTCCTGCATCTCCTCTCAATCCTAAAGAAAAACTGCTACCTGGGTTCATATATATTCACCTCATGAGTTACCTTTGAACTGCAGTTCTAAAAGATCTACCGACCGCAAAAAGAGCGGAGTGCCGCTGCTCGCCGGCCGACTACAATGGGACCGTTTTTGCTGCGGAGTTCATGCCGGAGCGGAGCGGAGTGGAGATAGTGGAATCTTGGGGGTGCGTCACCGGAGGACAACAGGTGATGTGCCTCGCTCCGCAGCAGCGAAACGCATCAGGCACAAATAACAGACAGAAAACATGAAAGGAAATGAGCCGACATGAACAATCTCGTGTTTAATTTGTTTTTGAGGTGGTGACACCTGATTTGGCGGTGCTCAGGACGCAATGTCTGGAGCGCACGTCAACGATCAGAGCTTTGCATGCGCAAACTGGTTAAGATTAGGATGGGGGTGAGGGGAAGGCTAAATTGCAAGAGGGAAAACGTCACAGTTTGGTTAAATGTCCGTTTTACCGCCGGTGTCAGTACCGCACAGCGCGTCGCCTCCGCCTCGATCCAGACGCGCAGGGGCTCATCACCTGCTGTCTTTTCCCAGGACTGCATCTTGTCAGTCATTATCACGTGACAGCGACTAGTTGATGACAGGCATAAAAAGTCACTACAGAGCCGTGAAGTCGACTAGTCGACTATTTCGTACAACCCCTAGTGCAGTGGAGCCTAATGCTTCCAAGAAAGCCAATAGGAGAAGGAAGTCTCGCACACCTCCAACACACACACACACACACACACACACACACACACACACACACACACACACACACACACACACACACACACACACAGACATGAAAGTAATCATGAGAGTATAGATTTTAAATTGTATCAGGGGAAGTGTTTTTTATGAAAAGTGAAAAGAAAGGTAGACGAATAGACCACGACAAATGCAATTTTAAAGCGGTTAGAAAGCATCCTGAGCCATTGTGGTTTATTGTAGGCAAAGGCCCTTGAGGAACAATAATAGACATGCGTGAACTTTGGCAAAAACACTTGACACAGAACACTTTATTACTAGTGTGTACAAAATCATTCAGATTGTACAATTAAATCATAAAAACAACCTTTTTGTTATGAGAGTGTTTTTGCGCTAGTGCCTGGACAAAAGTCAGATGGTGATTTTACCGTAAGAAAGTCTCTTAATATTCGTGCCTTCAGGCATGATTATTAAGAGACTTTCACTGTTTAATAGAAACCAACACATACTGTGCTGGTTTCTCTTAAACAGTGTGAAAACATTTATTTTAAATTTTGTCAAGCTGCTAAATCCCAAAACGGTTGAAAATGTGGGTATGGGTAGCAAATTCTTGCATGCTAAGGTGACTACAATCAGCATTTCTCTAGCCCATCTATGAAGTAGAGTAAATTAATAAAATAACTGTTTAAATATATTATTTTAAATAGCTTATTTTAACTTGCTAATCTGTCAGTGCGCCCCAGGGCAGCTGGGGTTACATTGTAGCTCATCTCCACCCGTGTGTGAATGTGTGTGTGAATGGGTGGATGACTGATTGTGTTGTGAAGCGCCTTGGGGGGTTGTAGAGCTCTGAAGCTTACTGCACACTGGAAGCTTCAGTGGCGCGGAACGGCATCGGAACTTCACTGCTTCACATAAAATCCATTATGGTCTATCGTCGTGACACGGCAATTTTCAGGTGCATCCCAAAAGTGGCATGCCACTAAAGTAGGGTTGGGTTCTATATTTGCGTCGTACTGCTTCTGGGACGTGACAAATTCCGCAGTTAACATAGGGCTAGACAGGAAATAACACACCATTTCAGTGTAAACCTCCCAGTAATTGTCAAAATAAAAGTCTATTGCAGCAATGTGATTTCAATACAAGTGACCTAATGGCGTTTTCATGACTAATGGCATTTTTCATTGCTTTATTCTTGGCAGTGGAGAGGAACATCATCGTATATGACATCAAACAGCGATAAACGGGATTTCCTTCTTTTTGGTTTATTGGCGGATGTCATGAACTCAAGAGATTTTGTGACCTCGCGAGTCGAGTGAGGAGTACAGTGGAGAAGCCGCCTTGCGGCTGAGACTCCCGGTGTACACTGGAGTGCAGAAATTGTTGCGAGTAAAGCCTGGGGCACACCGGAGACAGATGCGCCCCGCTGCGGAAGCATCGCGTTTTTGGGAAGTCACATGGTCACACAAGATGCGCCGCTGAATGCTTTCTTGGAAAGTCACGCGATAGTCACAACATCACGCGGGATTTGAGAACAGGAAGCGAAAAGTGACTCTTTTGTTTTTACATGATCATACATGCAGTCGTGTTTTTAGAGACTAATTTATAAAAAATGGGTACATAGACTATTTATTAAAATATTTTAGGATCAAT